TATTTTCGGATGTTGTTCTTGAAGTTTTACTGACAATATCGATGGGAACAAATACAGTGTTAATCTTTTTTATCTTCAAACTAAACGGTTACTTATCTTCAAACTTAACGGTTACTTATCTTCAATATAAATGGTTACGAGGTAAAGCTGTGGCGTTTTTCTATACAAAAGATTAAACCGGGACAGTTTGACAACTCACAAGGTCCGAATGTATTGCCGAATGCTGGTTATGTTTATGCTGAAGTAAACATTCAAGGTGAAAATCGATCAATTTGTTTCTAAGGCACCAAATTTATAAGCGTCTGATAAACATCCGTTAAACAATTGTCATGAATGTAGAAAACATCGTATTAATCCTCCTACATGTTAAAGTTTTTCTTTCAAAATTAAAAACAAAAAATGTGTTTGGATCAATTAAACCAGTATCATACGATTAATCATGATATCGCCTGGTCGGTATTTTTTCAATAGGCTTAGATTTTACCCAGATTCAATCGTGTATAATCTCTTTCCCGTGACAGTATGACAGCTAACAAGGTCCGAATGTTTTGCCGAACGTTGCTTATGTTTATGATGAAGTGAACATTCAAGGTGAAATTGACCAATTTGTTTCTAAGGAACAAAAGTTTTAACCGTCGGACAAAAACCTGTTAAACATCGTGTTAATCTTAAATGTTAAAGGTTTTTTTTTCAAAATTAAAAAAAATGTGTATTGAGCACCTAAATCGGTATCATACGATTAATTATCATATCGACTGGTCGGTATTTGTCATTTTCTCTCTAACTTTCAACCAAGAAATGCTAGAAGCACTGGCATTTTTGTATTATATAACATTGACTTTATTGTATCTCAACAGGATTTAACTCCCTCCTGCAAAGTTCACCCAAAATATTCTGTTTAGGATTTTCTTTGTCTTCGCCAATTCAAAACGTCTGATCTATTTGCAATTGCAATCTTTTAATGTCGGCCGAAGAATATATATCTTATTTAGGCTATATATGGAAAATTAATGTGGTACATTTTTCAATAAGTAAACCCTTCAATAAAGACGAAAGGAATTTTTCATTTTTGTATAGCCTGTTATTCGATGAAGTATAATGTATAATAGTATGAAGTAACTACTTAGATCTTTGTGCATGTAGTTTATGTAATTTAATGTTATCTGATGATTCTGAATAAAGAATGTTTGTCATTAAAAAAAATAATTATTTAAATCCATTATGGTTTTTTTTTCTTTACGGTTAGTATGATATGATTATCCCTGCAATTGGATACTACAATGCATAAGTTTATTCCGTTCCTTGATCATCAAACAACTATATTTATATTTTTTTCAACACACCCCGAATTCCAAATTTGCTATTTACATCCAGTTAAATTCAAATGGTACGACAAATTTAATGTCTGGTTTAATTTTGCGCTTTCTGAAACATTTCATCATACCCTTTTTCGATAGGCCTAGATTTTACCCAGATTCAATCGTGCATAATCTCTTTCCCATTTGAACCCTTAATATGAATAAGAAAATGTGGTATAATTGTGAGGGAGACGTAGAACATATGATAAAAAAATATAACAATAAAACCAAACTCATTTGTTTAGGTGAAATCCTTAAAAATCGACAAAATCAAACGTTAGACTTTATCAACCAACGACATTAATGGGAAACAACAATCATATACCTGACTTGTTACAGATTGCCGAGGTCAATGGTGGGTTGAACCTGGATTTATAGCTTAGCCTAGCTAAACCTCCCACTTGTATGACAGTTGTTTCTAGTTCCTTTAGATTGACAAAATTGGGTGAGCAATCCAAAAAGACATACTAGGTTTAAATAATGTAACAATAATTCGGATCTAGCAGCCAAAGCTGTGCAAACAAACATCACAGACATACACCACGACTGACTAAAAAATTCATCATACAAAAAGATCTAACAAAGACGCCGATAAAAAAGTGTTTGTAGTTGATAGTACATACCATATATAGTATACTTTTTCTCGATAAAGTACAAAGTAAGTAAAATGAAAATACAAGGGTAAACAAAATGGAAACAAACACTTTTAAAACCTTTTGTGTCCGAATTCAACTTTAGATCAATATACTGCCTTCAATGACAATGGTTGTTTCGTAACAGCACATGCAGCTAAAAAAAATACATAAGTTGCAATAAAGACCTGCACAAATAATTTGGTTAAAAGATGTGCATTTCAGCGATTTTTCTGTCTGTCTTTTTTACTTTCCACCTCCCCTCCAAATGTAGGACGAAACAGACTATATATCCAAGAACCTAAAATGTTCACCAACGTGCTGTCACTTTGAACAAGATATTGCAATCTGATCGTTACGATGTCGAGACGGAAATTTGGAACCCCAAGTCTAGATCGGGATGTACACGGCCTAAAGTCCTTCTTCTGCCAGAAAGTCACTAAAAGCCTTTATTCGTCAGTGCAAAAGACTGAATATGTACTTTAAGTTTCAAAAGCACTATGAACAGAAATTTATGTAACTTTTATTTACATTACTAATAAATTGCTTACAAATATTTTTGCACGAAGTTTTAAAACCGTTGCTTTCAAACGTTTTGTTGAGATATTCAAGCATATTATTTAAAAAAAAAAATATAAGCAGTATGGCGAAGATGGCTGATGGTTATTGTGAACTATGTTCATGTTTAAGTGAGGATATCTGGATCGTGTGATGGTTATTGTGTACTATGTACCAGGTGAGGATATCTGGTCGCGTGATGGTTATTGTGAACTGTGTACCAAGTGAGGATATCTGGATCGTGTGATGGTTATTGTGAATTATGTACCAAGTGAGGATATCTGGATCGTGTGATGGTTATTGTGAACTATGTACCAAGTGAGGATATCTGGATCGTGTGATGGTTATTGTGAACTATGTACCAAGTGAGGATATCTGGATCGTGTGGTGGTTATTGTGAACTATGTACTAAGTGAAGATATCTGGATCGTGTGATAGTTATTGTGAATTATGTACCAAGTGAGGATATCTGGATCGTGTGATGGTTATTGTGAACTATGTACCAATTGAGGATATCTGGATCGTGTGATGGTTATTGTGAACTATGTACCAAGTGAGGATATCTTGATCGTGTGATGGTTATTGTGAACTATGTACCAAGTGAGAATATCTGGATCGTGTGATGGTTGTGAACTATGTTCCAAGTGAGGATATCTTGATCGTGTGATGGTTATTGTGAACTATGTTCATGTACCAAGTGAGGATATCTGGATCATGTGGTGGTCATTGTGAGCTATGTACCAAATGAGGATATCTGGATCGTGTGATGGTTATTGTGAACTCTGTACCAAGTGAGGATATCTGGATCGCGTGGTGGTTATTGTGAACAATGTACCAAATGAGGATATCTGGATCCTGTGGTGGTTATTGTGAACTATGTACCAAGTGAGGATATCTGGATCGTGTGGTGGTTATTGTGAACTATGTAACAAGTGAGGATATCTGGATCGTGTGATGGTTATTGTGAACTATGTACCAAGTGAGGATATCTGGATCGTGTGATGGTTATTGTGAATTATGTACCAAGTGAGGATATCTGGATCGTGTGGTGGTTATTGTGAATTGTGTACCAAGTGAGGATGTATGGATCGTGATTTGTTAGTTCTTGTTAGTTGGGAGGATCCAAGTTATTATGGCGAAGATTGCTGATGGTTATTGTAAACTATGTTCATGTACCAAGTGAGGATATCTGGATCGTGATTTGTTAGTTGTTGTTAGTTGGGGAGATCCAAGATATTCTTTCCATGTATAATGCTACAATCTGACAACAATGGGCAATCTAATATTTGTCATAACTCGGCAGATATCTCTTGCAATCTATCTAGACTTGATTGATATAATGATTGGCATACTTCTGCTGAATTTTACTAAACGATGTCTTGAGTAGTGCGATCTAAAGTGTTTTCGTAAATCTAATTAAGTCTAGTATAGTCTGTCTAGACTTGGGCGATCAAACGTTTGTCAAAGCTCTGAAAATTCTGTTCTAATCTGTCTATGCTTGGGCGGTTTTTAATTCATCATACATCTGCTACACTTTATTACTATTTGTTTGAACCTGGGTGATCTAGCATTGTCATAATTCTGTTGAATTGTACTATGGTTTATCAAGACTTAAGTGATCGTAATTTTCTATATCTCCTCTGAATTCTACCACAAGGTGCGACAATTTAGATATCCTTGGCAATATAACAAGGGTCATTACTTTGTTAAATTGTACGTCATTCGGTTTAGACGTTGGCGATTGAACGTTTGTCATATAAATGTTCTAATTTTTTCTAGACTTAGACGATCTTATTTTTGTCATATTTGTGTTGAATTTATAACAAACTGTCTAGACATGGGCAATCGACCGCTTGTCATAAGTCTGCTGAACTTTATTTTAAACTTTTCATACGTAGACGACTGAATGTATGTCGTAATTTTGCTGATTATACTACTATATTTCTTGAGCTATTTTATGTTTGTCTTAGCTTAAAAGAATTATAGCACAATCTATTTAATCTTTGATGACTAAACGTTTGCTGACGGTGGTAACACTTATTCGTCCCAAAAAATACAAGGATATTCCTTTTGTTTATTTCTGAACCTATAGCTAATTCATGTTCTTTCATAAAACAATATTCTATCAGCGTTTATTTGTTTTATATTCAATATACTGTTTTCAATCTGAAATTCTCTTTTAGGTGCTAATTGTACGGGGAAATATTTTTCCTATAGAGTTCAATGGCAAGCGTTGTGCGTTGTCATACGAATTAGCGACTTTTATTGTTGCATACACTATGTTTGGCTACTATACAATAAGTGGGAATAGATTTATTATAGAAACAAAAAAAGAAACGAAAGTTCATGTAAGGAAATAAAACATTGTTTAAGAGTAATTTGTTATCTTTCACAATGAATTACGACACCTATATATAGACAAAAAACGAAGATCCATATAAGGATATATTATAAACCAGTGGATTTTTTAAATCAACTGTTTCCTTGGACGTGAACACAGACCAACTATTTAGTTCAAAATTACATATGTCATTTCAGGATAGTGGTAAGATTAAGATTATTTACGAGTATGATAATACTATTAATAAAATGGTTAAAACATGTAAAATATTTTTGTACATGTTATTGTTTCTTTTTGACATTATACGAGGATATTTCATATAAGTTTTGCTAGGATAGCATGCGTATACGTTTACTCTCTATCATTACATCAAATAGTTGTGATGGGTTTATGATAATGTAAATCATTTCTCATTGACGGCATTACAAAAATTAACAATGTTCTTGTGGGGTGTTTATAGAGGGAGAGTGATTATTTTAATCTTTGATAAAGTTTATATGTCGCGCAAAAAAAAGGGAAATCTTCAAATCAATATTTCGTTTTCTTCCGTTTTTATAGGAACAATTTATCTGAGGACGTGAAAATAAATATTTTGTATTATATTCTTTAATTCAACTTATGGTGAAATGATGTAAATAGCTGTTTATACAATAGAATGATTTATGAACATAGCCATCTTTAAAGCTTGTGTAACGGGATCATAATTATTTTTCATATCGATATACATGTATATAGTCTTTCACTTTCAGATGAATCGGTACACTTTTCTAGTTTTCTTACTTCCGTTGTCAACTGGTAAGTTATTTTGTCTACCAGCCACAATATATGCACACAAATGAGATATAGATAAAATCTATTTTAATCAAAATGTCTGTTTAAAGTAAGGACGATGATCATTGGAAATTATACATTTTGTCACAATAAAATGATCAAATTTGAGTATTATGTTAAACAATTTATATTTATATGCAATCTTCTGGGCGTTTTTGACAGCTTTACAGACCATTTAACACGGTTGAATAAACTGTGGTTTAGAATCAACAATTATAAAATATTACAATAAATGAAACATCTGACCAAGTATTTCTGTCAAAACCGCAGTCAAGAACTGTTGCATTTATTCGGATTGAATAAGTAGTGAAAATTAGAATATATAAAAACCTAAAACAAATCCCATATAATTTCAAATAGTTATGAACATTTTTAAAAAATGTACAATTATCTATCAATTATTCTATGGATGAACAGACTAATGTAAAACGCCATGTTGCAAATACGGTAACATGTAATTTAGATACGATATGGGTAAACTTATCGATCATTTCTAAAAGATTACCAATTCAACACTTAGATTGTTTTTATTGATATAAATTTTGATTTGTTATCAGTAAATTTAAGCTATACTAAATATTATTGTTATATACATATGCACATTCACAGTTCTACAATCTGTCAATACCTATATTTTGGTATTATGCAAGGTCAGGTTTTTCTCCGACTAAATAAATTCATTGAATGTTGGATGTGTACTGATTGATATTTTAGTCTTTGATCTGACAAATATAACGTTTATAAAATATATAGAACATGTTGTATAATTGCCAATAAGACAACTATCCACCAGAGGGGTTTTGGTTGCTGTGTATTATATTTGTGTTTATGTTATTATTATAAGTCGGGCCTGGCTGTTTTGGTTTTTTCGTTTTATCTGGTGTTTTTTTTTTTTTTTTGGTATGTCGATGTCATTTATAGCTTACTATACGGAATGGATTTTGCTGTTGAAGGCAGTGTGGTTTCTTTATATTTGTTGTTTAACTACACGGTATTTGGTCTTTCTGGATATTTACCTTATTACAATCATGTCACATCTCTTTATTTCTTATATCCTGGCTTGGAACATGAAGAATGTTGCAGGGTTAGACTTGTTTTTTAGCATTGAACTGTCCCTTGGGAGATAGGGACAGATTTGTAACAGCAAAGATTAAGATAAACTATAAGACGCAGTTAGAGTTTTGCTCATCGGTATGAAACAAAACAAAACAAAAAACAAAACAAATTTACGTACCGATTTAATGTATATTACATGTGTGAACCAGGCTTGCACAAACCAAAATATCAATCAGTCCATATCTAACGGATTCAGTGTAAAGACATAACGAACAGTCTGAAAAAAACAGTCAACTTTATAGAATTCGAAAGATAAGAATTAAAAAAAAAGAGGGTGGGAATGCCAAGGGATCGTTCACTTTTCATTAGACGAGGATAATTTGACAACACCATGACAAAGTGCGAGACGAGGTAAAGATATCCAGGTCCACAAATCACTACATAAAAACTAAATGACTTAGCAACATGAACCTACTCAAAGCATAATTTACATGCAGGATACTCAACACGGGATATGCAATGAAACAGGCTTCCCAATTCGAGTGAACGATTGTATACATTTTATTCGAATTAATTTTATATGGAATATACATTTCAGTCTTGGGAAATTATAAAAGAGTTTGTTATTTTACAAACTGGGCACAGTATCGACCTGGAACCGGAAAGTATATGGCTAGTGATGTAGATCCATATCTATGTACTCACGTTATCTATGCGTTTGCCAAGGTGGTGGGAAACAATATCGAACCGTATGAATGGAATGATATTAATGAGTGGGGTAAGTTATTCAGAACATTTCATGAGCATTGCTTTAAATTCACAAAAATAGGGTTTGACCCTTGTATATATGAGCAATTGGTTATTTTTATATTCCTTGTGTCAAACAAAAGATAATTAATGAATATAAAAAAGGTATATTTCAAAAGTAAAAAATGAACAATCTTTCAATATTGACGTGATCATGTTATCTTATTTCACGAATTTTGTTTTCATTCGAAGTTGTTCAGTGTTCACTTATTTTGTTTCAATAGCCAAAGGTCAGTTTGAAATGATCCGTGATGTCCGAATTAAAAACCCTGCCTTAAAGATACTGTTAGCTATCGGGGGATGGAATCATGGAAGTGCACCTTTCACCAAGATGGTAGCAACTCAATCAAATATAGACGGATTTGTCATAAATTCAATGACATTCCTTAGAGCTAATGGTTTTGATGGTCTTGATCTTGACTGGGAATATCCTGCCAACAGAGGAAGTCCTCCCGAAGATAAACAGAAGTTTACTCAGTTAGTTAAGGTAAAAGTAATTATGCAAAAACAAATATATCAGTTTTATTGACGAATTTTGATATGGTATGAAAAATCAATTATTTCAAATTATTGTTTTAAATTATTCATGGTCATTGTTTTATCCAAAATCTAATTAGGAAGTCATTGCTTTTTATGTAACCTGATTTAATCAAACAAGTGTGTACGTGCATACTACACATCTAATGTCTAAAGATTTGCAAGTGACATACAACCCTCAAAACTGACAAACAGATATGATAATCTAGGTTTTGAATAGACCAATAATTTTGTAAACGTTTTAGGAAAGCAGAATTTTGAAAATATAAGAATCGTGCAATACATACATTTGTATTAATAAGAATTAAAAACAACACGTTATAAATTGCATGCGTCCGACGCGCTTTTCTGAATTTACCTTCATCAGGAACGCTCAAAGCCAAATATTTGAAAGCCAAGGATGTATAAGAACCGAAACAGTTGAAGAGCAATGTGACAAAAAAAGGACCTAAAAAAAACCCAAATCTATCTAAGATCAACTTTGCCTGAGGGAGTAAAAACCCTAATAAACTAAATCCAACTTTGAATTCCAAATGAAGTTTGAATATTTAAAACTCTTATAGGTGATGGAATTTTAAAAGAACTCTATGCATAGGCAGCAAATTATATATCTATTGTTTTATATTCCAGACATTACGTACAAAGTACGACAATGAAGTGTTGATTTCCGGGAGATCACGTCTTCTGTTGACAGCCGCTGTGGCAGCCGGTAAATCTACTATTGAAAGTGCTTATGAAATCGACAAAATAGCAAAGTAAGACTTTCGGTTTATCATACCAACTTCCTTAAAAGCGTATAGTAATGCTTTTCTTTGTTAATAAATAGTTTTTTTCAGATATTCAATGCAATTTTCGAAGTTTTGCACTCATTTTCCGTTACCATGGCTAAGAAGAGATTAATTGTCCCAGTACAAAAACAGTAACCAAATGTAGATTTCAGTAACTACACGTACGTACATTCTTTATTGGTGTATCATTCATTTTAATTACCCAGGTTAAACTAATTTTATATTCGTTTGATGTGTTTGAGCTTTTGATTTTGCCATTTGATAAAGGACTTTCCGTTTTGAAATTTCCTTTGGTGTTCGATTTTTGTTTTTGTTATTTTACTTTCTAATATGATTATATGTTTATATACAATATATTCTATCTTGTTTTGGGAGGGGATAAATCATACTTAGTAATAATAAAAACACTCTGATTCAAACAAAAAATTCTCTGAAACTGACATCGTCAAAAGGATTCATTTTTTGTATTGATAACATATTTGTTACTTTCGGAGTACGTGGTTTTTTTCAACAAACAAAACATTTTTATGGGAAACAACTGTGCTCCTGTTCTTTCCAAATAGTTCCTTTATTCATATGAGACAAAATCCTTGCAATAGCGTCTTGTTAAGAACGAAAACAAACTTGCAATATCCTTTAACTCCACTTTCCACTTTATGGATGATTTCTTTTCACAAATCCACTCAAAGTTGGTTACTACGTTAAGGTAACACGATACCAAATGGCATATTTCCCGATTTTTAAAATTTTTGGCACACTTGTATTTTGATTCGAGTTACATCGGAATATAAAATAAAATATAGGGGTCACCATTTTTTTTTTTTTTTTTTTGTAATTTTCATAAGAAAACGTCAATTTTGGCGACGAATTTACATAGATCTATAGGGAAAATGTCCTTTTTTCACCTATTTTATTAGATTTTTCAATGGATGGCTATGTTCTTTTATACGGAGAAAAACCAAAAACTAACATAATATCCAGGGTTGTATACTGAATCCAAGCATGTATAGAAACACATATCACCATCCTTGTTTTTTAGATAAATTTCTTCAAAGTTGACCAATACGCTTAGAATTTGACTGAACACGTGCGACGTAACTGAATACAGACTAACGTTATTTTTACTCAGAGGTCTCTAAATTTATGAAACAAAAATTTTAATCAGTTGTGCGTTTGAAAGTAACACCATACAGACACGGAAGTTGACATTAAAAGCGATCTAGATCTAACATTCACAACGTTGTTGTTACAATATTATTGCCAAATTTAGTATGATAAGCATTCATAACGTAAGACATGAGTGGGGACTATTTGTAGTTACAGTGGTAACGCAGGCAAACACATCAGTAGAATATGATTTGGACAATTTTTTAAGCGATTTGTTGGAAGTGCTCCGTGCAAGACCACAACATGCACAAACATTCATAACATCAAACTACAATGACGACACAGAAAATATGACAGCAATTTTTAGACCAGCTGCAACTACCATCCCTAAAAGATCGTCGAACCCAAAACAGATAATATCCTCTTCTGCAAAGTCATACACAAAGAAGCCAATTTACTATCTGATCAACTGAAAAAAATATCTAGGACAACCAAGAACATGCATTATCTGTATCTGTATTGGTACGTGTAGAATCATATTAAGGCTTTTATACACGGTGGAGAAGAGCGCCAGTGGTGTTAATCAGATGTGGATTCTCAAAAATTCGAAAGATCTACTGCAATTTTGCAGCAACATAAAGACTTTTGATTTTTCTACGCTTTACACTACTATTCCCCATGCTCAGTTGAAAGATCGACTTCACCATCTCATTAAACAGAGCTTTTTCTATAAAAATGGGAAGCGTAGATACAAATTTCTTGTTTTGGGTTACAATAATTCATATTTTGTGAAAAACCACACTGAATCTACCAGAAAATATACTGAAGAAGATATTATCAAAATGCTGGACTTTTTGATCGACAATATATTTGTTGAGTTTGGAGGATTTATATTTCAACAGACAGTCGGTATTCCAATGGAAACTAATTGTGCACCCCTACTGGCCGATTTGTTTTTGTACTCGTATAAAACATAATTCATTCAGAACCTTCTAAAAGACAAAAAGAAAAAGCACCTTGCGAAATTCTTTAATTTTACTTTCCGATATATTGATGATGTTCTATCATTGAATAGCCCATATTTCAGCCAATACTTACATCTCATATATCCCAGTGAACTTGAAATTAAGGATACTACTGATACTAGAAGGACTGCTTCATACCTTGATCTTTTCCTCAATATTGACACAGATGGACGACTTCACACGAAAATCTATGATAAACGGGACGATTTCAACTTCCCAATTATCAATTTCCCATTTCTCAGCAGTAACATACCCTCTGCTCCTTCGTATGGTGTTTACATATCTCAATTGATACGTTATTCTCGTGCTTGTTCACACGGACTTCATATACAGGAGTGTGCTCCTTACGCAGGAACTGCTCCAACAAAGTTATGAGGAGGACAGATTAAAAATGACACTCCGTAAATTTTACGGACACCATCACCAATTGGTTGATCCATACGATGCGTCTTTGTCCAAACTAACTAAGGACATTTTTACCACGTGTTAGATTGTGGTTTGTCATTACGTCGTCTGATCTTTTAATTACCGAACGTAACTTATTCCCGATTGTGACTGTTTTGCTGAGTGTGAAACCGCATTGCTATAAGACGTGTCACGATACCTTTCTATCCCAAATTCATGTATTTTATTTTGATGTTATATTTGTTGTTCTCATCGGATTTTGTCAAATGTCTTAACGTCTTTTCTGTTATGTTCGTGTGTTATGGTAGAGAAAATTAATCACCCCCTTCATTTATTAGATTTTAGTTTGGTTCAACAAAATGTATACGATATATTTGGTTTACAGTTTGATTCAGAAGAAACACCGACATAGCTAGATAATACAATTAATTATCTAATTACTACCATTTGATATTAATAAGTATTGTAATTTTCATTGTTATTAATAAATGTAATGTCAGTATTACAAATCTAATCTTTAATCAATCCTTATCCTATCTTATTTTTGGGAAATATTTTTACAAATTTGTGACGTCACTTTGTGTGTTTTTTTAGAATTTCAAATGTGACGTCACTTTGTGCGTTGAGGCTTTGGCTTAATCGGCTGTTTATTTTTTTATGTGTTGGATTAAGTTGTTTTATGTAATGTATCCGTTTTTATTCTGTAGTTAGTCCCCACTTTGGTTATATCATTTTAATATCTATTATATAGTCATTTTATAAAATTTACTGTTTGCAAAATTATAAATTATTCTAAATGATAAGGACGTTCTTGTCCCAGGCAGAAAACCTTGGCCGTGTTGGGCGCAACTTTTTGGAAGTTTGGTCCTCGGTGCTCTTCAGCTTTGTACTTGTTTTGGCTTTCAAACTTTTTTCATCTGAGCGTCACTGGTTGGTCTTGTGTGGACAAGACGCGCGTCTGGCGTATTGAATTTTAAGCCTAGTACCTTTTGTTAGCTATTATTCGTGTGTTTCTTTGTCCTATATGTTCTCCCATTTATTTGTATTGTGGTCCTGTCATGTGAGGTTGTCGTTTTGGTGTTGTGTTTGACGTTGCCATAAAAGCGGGAGGTTTGGCATGCCACAAAACCAGGTTCAACCCACCATTTTTTTCTTAAAATGTCCTGTACCAAGTCAGGAAAATGGCCATTGTTATATTATAGTTCGTTTCTGTGTGTGTTACATTTTAATGTTGTGTTTTTGTTGTGTCGTTATTCTCCTCTTATATTTGATGCGTTTCCCTCAGTTTTAGTTTGTAACCCGGATTTGTTTTTATCTCTATCGATTTATGAGTTTTCGAACAGCGGTATACTACTGTTTCCTTTATTTATGGGCGGTGTTCTTGTAGGGCGGTCTTAAATGCCTCTACTGAACCTGCATGCACAACTTTATCTGGTAGTTGGTTCCAATGAATAGTTGTTTCCACGAAAAATGAATGTTTATACTGTGGCTTGTTGCTGTCTGGTACTTTAAGCCCTCTGGTGTTATTGATTATTTGCCGTTCAATAATATTGTCTGTTTCACAGTTTGAATATACTTTGGCTTTGTTTGTTTGTTTCGGTTTTGCTGGTGTGACAAAATTGTCGGCTGGTAGAGCCGGCACCAGACCCTAAACATTTCCTGAGACTGACAAAACAAAACCAGACAAATCAAAATTCTGCTTCATACCAAACACAATTAAAGATTGGAACCTACTACCACCAAATATTTTCTTCAAGATTCAATCAGCAGAAAAACCAGCTAAAACTTTCAGTGATATTGTAAGGGGTGTCCCACTAAGTGAATTACTCGACTCATGCTTGGTGTAGTAATATCCTTGAATGATTTACCGTATACCTATCAAGATCAAACGACAAAGCAACGACGCCACCGAATTGAAAGATTTAAATTATGACAATATAACATGCATAAGAATAAAAGAGAATCCCAAAGCTGATGGTACATGAATTGAAATGGCACCGCAACTATTATATTGTTTTCTTTTTTTATCTGTTTTAGAATAAAGGTTTTTCTTTGAATTTTTTCAATCTTTTATTTATATTTGCTAGTATCATTACAAAGTTAAATCAAAAAGAAATTGAGAATGGAAATGGGGAATTTGTCAAATAGACAGAAACCCAACCAAATAGCAGAAAACAGCCCAAGGCCACCAATGGGTCTTAAACGAAGCACGAAAATCCCGCACCCAGAGGCTGGCTTCAGCTGACCCCGAAACAATTATGTATACTATAGTTAAAAGTATGGAATTTGACAAGAATGTTTATGTGGTAATTGAATTTAACACATTAATCCATCTTTACAATTTACAAAATCTTCTAAAAATAAGAATTTGTATGAATGTCATGAATGAGACAACCTTCCAAATTTTTTGAGGTTTGCAACTAGTTAACG